CGCTGTGGAAAATCGAGGGCTTCTCCATTAATTGCATCTTGATGCTGCTTTTGGTGATACGAGTCACTTGGAGTGAAATCGGGACAGCGGTCGAGCCAATTTTCTGCGTTGCAAAAGGCAAATATTAAATAATCCTGCTCGGCAGCATATTGGGCAATGTGCGCCAATTGGACAGATATGCCGCAGCCTGGTTGCCCGTAGAGGACGAATCGGGGAACAGTGGATATGCGCCTTGCAGCCTTTGTGGGCTCCGCGTACGTGTCTGAGATGTGTCGCAAGGCAGAAATTACGTCAAGGGATGGCTTTCGAACCAGCAGTGAAAAGTCTTCAAAGAGGCGCAGCTCTCGCAGGTGAAATTCTGTGAGGAATGGTGAGATGACACGCGATGCAATCGTTGGCTCTACTGTGTAAAACCTCCCAAGAGATGCAGAGGGGTCGGCGCTATGAGCACCAGCGGATGTGACCGACGTACGTGGAGTCTTAGCCACCCAAGTGCGTTGCTGCTGTGTGGCTTCAATGGTGGATAAAGCACGCAGAATGGTTCCTGAAGATCTTCCTTGGAAGATGCTCAAATGTCTAATAACATGCATGGCAAACAGATGGCGCTCGAAGTTAATATTCCACTGCAAACACGGTCACCTAAGGAGCAACGGAAAGTTGGATTTTAGGACAGTAGCTTGCTTTAGTAAATTTTACAAAGGTAACCAGTTTTAGAGTATGCCAAGGGCCAACCCTTATAGCCAACTAACCAGTAGGGGACTAGGCTTATGTGGAAGGACCAACCACGCTCTGCACCAATGAATAAGCTTGAAAAGCCGAAGACATTGGAAAAATATTATACTTAATCAAGTCTACGCGTTCCTTTTCGTTAAAAGTACTAGCTAACAGACTACCCTTGGCAACCTGTTTTACAAAGCAATATCACTAAATTCGTCGCCGTTACGCGGCTAGAAACGAAAGCCGCGTCCTGAAACTACAACAGGTTTGATCTATTGGCCAAATAAAACAGGGAAAATTAAACTGAGCGCATAAAATGTCACATTGGGTAAGAAATAAAGGGAATTCATGCGATGGACCTCTGTTCGCTTCTGCCCTAATAGCATTCTCATTGACCCTTTCTTCCGATTGCTGCGTGAGTGCAGATCTAGGCGGTATTCTGTGCGTTAACTGGGGGAGGTTACAAGCCTTCATTGAAATCTATGGTCAAACACACACAAGCCCCCACCCGTCTCAGAGCCGTGAAG